GCCTTCTTTCTGGACACATGGCTGTGGTGAGTTAACGGCAGTATGGTTCCCCTGCACACGACAGGTCCCAGTGGCAGCAGCTAAAGGCCTTTGCCACCTGGAATCACAATCGTTGACTTCGACTGTGGGCAGTGAGTTATTGACGATTATGCTTTCCAAGCAGAAAGGAAGCAGCAGGGTTCCGTGTGGTTATTACAAATTACATCTTTCCTTTCCGGGTGGGTGTGCCCACTCACTGTTGCCTTGGCAACGCCGTGCTTTGCAGAGGCAGCGAGTGGACACACCCAGCAGGGGCACATTTCTGGATAGAACAGAGGCAGCAGGAAAATTGATTTTGATGATGGCTGGGAATTCCAAACTGGTTTTACCTGGAAAGTTTAGGTAGGATTTCTTCAGAGTAGTGTAGCAGTTACGGATTCCCAGGGTGCCCTGGGCCTTTAAAATGCCATTCTGTCCCGTGTAAGTTTTGTTGAGGATCTCTGAGAATATATCACCTTATCTTGGATGCCTGTGAGTATAGTTGTACACTGTTCATGCAAACTTTATTGCTACAAATATAAATCCAATGGTCTTGTGCATTTTAATCCAAATTTCTTTAATTGAAAATGCTATGTAATTACATTTAAAATTTTATCTATTTATTTTATGCATATGGGTATTTGGTCTGTATGTATGTCTGTGCACCATATGTATCCCTGATACCTGTGGAGGCTAAAAAGGTGTCAGATCTGCCCTGGGATGGTTGTGAGCCATCCCATGGGTTCTGGGAACCCAACCTGGGTCCTCTGGAGAGTCAACCAGTACTTTTCACCGCAGAGCCATCTCCCCAGTTTCAAAATACTATGTAAGTCTTATAAATTGTTACTTCTAAGTTACTGGGCCCTTTTCAAATTAAAGACTGACTTCATAAAACACACACACACACACACACACACACACACACACACACACACACACACCTGTTTTCTTTCAAATTAAATAATAGTTTAGATATTTCTTCAAAGTATTCACAATGAATGTCTTTAAAATTCAAGCTGACTATTTATAAGTAATAAGCCAATATGTGTATGTGTATATAGTTTACTTTAAATAAATCAATAACATTCAAATTCAGTTATATATTAAATGATATATTGTGACCAAGGAAGGCTATTAAAAGAACTGAAGGATATCATTACATTAGTAGACTTATCAAACACATCGAATTACCCTTTTGAAATGTTGGCTGGTTGTAGACAGAGTTTTCCTGTGCCACAGCTGCTCCCAAATAACCACTCAGAAACTTAATATTAATTGTAAATACTCAGCCAATAGCTCAGGCTTGTTACTAGCTAACTCTTACATTTAAATTAACCCATACTTTTTATTTATGCTTTGCCACATGACTGGTACCTTTTCTCAGTATGACACGCCCATCTTGCTTCTCTCAGGGTCTGCTGGTGACTCCAGACTCCACCCTTCCTCTTCCTAGCATTCTCTGTGTCTGGCTCTTACCCAATCTCTTCCTGACCAGCTATCGGCCAATCAGCTTTTTATTAACAATGAGAGCAATACATATTTCCAGTGTACAAAGGTTGGTCCACAGCAGCTGGCGGCTTGCCAAGCCTGTTTCTCCTGACAAGCGAGCGTCCCCGAATACATTCCTCGGCCCCTCTGGCTGCCGGGTCTGAATTTGTGCCCACATTCTGGTGAATGGAATAGTGATGGAAGTGTGTATCCCTCCAAGGGAAAGGTGATGCAGCCACGGATGGCTGTGGTCAAGGGCAGGGCTGAATAATACCAAGACATCTGTACCTGCTAGGTACAGGTAAGACTTGTACTTCTAAGATTTGGAGGCTTACTAACCATGGCGGCTAGTTTAATGTTAACTAACATTGATAGAAAAATACATGTAGTAACACTTTACACCCATCATTAGTTTTTTGAAAAAATTTTTAGATAGATTATTGTTTTAAAAAATGGATTTATTTTGGTCAGTCGTGCCTCATTTATTATAGAATAGACACTTTTTTTGACTTTTTGAGATAGGGTCTCTCTACATAGGTCTGGCTGAACTTGAACTCACAGAGTGCTGGGATTAAAAACATGTGCCACCACACCTGGCCTAATAGACACTCTTTAAACATGTTTCCACTTATGTACTTTATGTGTATGTTTTGCCTGTATGTCTATGTACCACCTGCACACCAGGTGCCCATAGAGGACAGAAAGCAGCATCAGATCTCCTGGAACTGAGTTAGGAATGGTTGTGGGTGCTGGAACTGAACCCAGGTCCCTCAAAGAACAAAGGCTCCAAACTGCTGAACAATCTCTCCAGTCCCCTAGACACTATTGCTAAAAAGGGGTTGTGTAAGGCCAAGCATGGTGGCGTGGGCCTGTAATCCCAGCATTCAGGAGGTATAGGCAGGACTGCAATCCGGAGGCTAGCCTGGAGTACATGGTGCTTTCTATGTAGGCCACCTTAGGCCAGCGAACCTGTCTCAAAACAAACAAATTCATGGAGTCCAACAATAACTCTCTTCCTCCAAAGGGTTTTCATCTGCTTCTGTCTGTTATGTGTGGGTTCCTCAGGCAGAACTACCTTAATCTAGTGTCAGAGTCTGAGTTTTTTCTCTCCTAACCAGAGAGCGTGAAGTAGTTGTTTTCAGCCTGTTGAGGTCACAATCCTAAATTTATGGCAGGTACTGTCCCTTTTCTCCTTGTCACAACTTCAGTCTCTGAGGCTTTTTCCATAACATGTCCACTTCTCAGCAACACTTCTTATCAGCTAATTGCCCCAGACAAAAGAAGCTGCAAACACGGGCTGGGGAAGGGAATTCCCCTCCTCCCAGATCTTACCCTGACATTTCCTCACTACTCCATCAGCTTTCCAGTATCTGGAAAGCAATATTGCTTCACTGCATCGATTTACTGAGGAGGTTTGTTCAAATGACCCAATCCACTCTTGGAAACAGACACATGGGGTCCTGGTTCCCTTTGTCTTACCTAGCAGGTCTCCCATTGGCTCTAACATGTTATAGAAAACATAGCTACATAATTTATACTTTGGAAAGGAACTGTTGTGGAATATTACTTTAGGCAAAGATGTGTTACATTTATTTTTGATACATTTGTTTAACAATGTAAAGATGTGTTACATTTGTTTATGTTGCATTTAAGATGTAAAGATGTGTTGCATTTGTTTCACCTTGGCTGTTTAAGGCACCTGATTGGTCTAATAAAAAGCTAAATGGCCAATAGCTAGGCAGCAGAGGGATAGGTGGGGCTGGTGGGCAGAGAGAAGAGAGATGGAGAGAACAAGGTTGAAAGAGAGGGAGGAGCCCAAGGCCAGTCAATCAGGCAGCCACCATCCAGCCAGACACAGAGTAGGACTTACCTAATGAAAGAAAGGTAAAAAGACCCAAGGAAAAACATAGATGAAGAGAAACAGGTTAATTTAGTTAATAAAGCTAGCCCAAAATAAGCCTAAACTAAGGCCAAGCATTCATAACTAATAATAAGCCTCTGTGTCATTATTTGAGAGCTGGTCAGTAGCCCAAAAGAAAGCTAGCTACATTTAGCATTCCAACATGTGGCCCAAATTTCACTTAGGGCCTGAGAAAGCTGAAAACAAAACAAAAAAACAAAATCCCAAAATGGATAGGGCTCCTTTGAGAGGCTCTGCATACAGCCAGCACTTGGGTAGGGGGCATGCCAAGTAGAAACAACAAGCTAAGGAAAGACCCCTGCCACAGTGGGGCATTGGCTTCCTAGAGCTGGGATGGTTAAACACAGCTGCCAGTTAAATGGTTCAAGGGCTTAAGGCTCAGCTCTGATGGACGGGGGAGGGGGGGGCAGCCAGCAAAGCCATGGTGGAGGGCCTAGTTATGGCTTAGCAATTTAAGGTTTGGTTTACAGTGTCAGAAAAGTCTAGAGACGGTAATAAAGGCAGGTCCAGATGGAAAAAAAATAATCTAAACAGGTTACAAAGTGTTTAAAAATGTGTGTAGACAGGGCTGGAGAGATGGCTCAGTGGTTAAGAGCACTGGCTGCTCTTCCAGAGGACCCAGGTTTTATTCCCAGCACCCACATGGTAGCTCACAACTGTCTGTAACTCCAGTTCCAGGGGATCTGACACTTTCACACCAATGCATTTCAAATAAATTTGAATAAAAATGTGTGTAGGCTTAAGAAAGAAAAGAAAATGGGTATAGACAGTCATAGAAAAAATAGTTTAAAAATAATAAAGTCTTTAAAGAGAGAGTAAAGTAACATAAAGGGAAAAAGCCAGGTAAAGGTGGAAAACACACAGGGAGTCTGGATCCTGTATGGTGGTGTGTTGGCTTGGAATTTTTTGAGTGCTGATGAGTGAACAACAGCTGCTGAAAGACATGGAATTGTAACAGGAACTGCTAAATTAAACCAGCCTAGATACTTTAAGAATGCCTTAACTTTAAAATGGAATTCAGAAAATGTATTGTGTTGGGGAAGAGTTTATACTTTTGACTCTCTCTCTTTCTCTCTCTCTTTGTTTTTTGAGACAGGGTTTCTCTGTATAGCTTTGCACTTTTCCTGGAACTCGATCTATAGCCCAGATGGGCCTCAAACTCACAGAGATCTGCCTGGCACTGCCTCCTGAGACCACTCCTGCCCTGCCGAGTTTATACTTTTGTTTCCACAGGAAATAAAAACCTGTAGATTCCTTCAAGGTAATAGAGATCAGATTTGAACATGGAAGTCCTCCTGAAAACCTACAGACATAAAGAAATAAACCAAGAAAAACTACAAGTCAGGTGCCATATATACTGATCCCTCTGCATGGAAACAGTTCTGAGACCGGACAACAAATGTTACCACTAGTTCTCTCAGGACTTGATCATTATCTCCATTTTCTCAGAGTCCCCTGGAGATGCCATCACCCTCAGACAACAGGAAGCAGTCTATAGAACACAAGATCCACATTCTCAAGAGGTGGGGTGAGTGGTTTTTGGTCATTTGGTGGGTTGTGGATGTTTGTCATCATTTAGTGAGGATATAAGAATATAGGATAAAAAGACAATTATTAACCTCAAATATTTTACATTGGTACGGATTTTTGTATATTGATACAAATTTAAGGTCATTTTTGTTAGAACATACTCTATATAAGTTTCTACTCTTGTTTAAGACATTTTGGTATATTGATACAAAGTTATTTGGGGTATTGTGCTTATGCAACTCATTAAAAAATATAATGTAATTAAGAAATGCAGGTAGTAGTCAGTCATCTCTAATAATCAAACTTGTAGTCATATTAGGTATGTTTTCAAGGTTAAACAGATACGCTTTAGATAGGTAATCTTCAAATGCTTCAAAGACCTACAGAATATGGCATTTAAAATGTTTTGTTAACATAGGACTTTTTGACAGTGAGATACGTCTGCTCCTGGTAAAATCAATCTAATTCATGAAAGGAAGATGGGTATTGAAGAACCTCCACAAGGGGTTTGCTTTCATTGCGGCAAAACTAGTCATTTGGGCAAGCAACTGCTCTTCCTTGACCACTGACAGTTGCTGTACAAACTGGACATGCAGGACACAAAGTGACTGCTGAACTTAAAAAAAAAAAAAAGGTAGGACAGTCCTTCAAAATTCCTACTTCACAGAAAAGTCTGCTGGATATTCTAGGCCTGCAGGCCAAAGATGGATGCCCGACATTGCAGAGGAATCGGGGTGACTGTCCAGGCAGCCGTTGTCTCTGTTGTTTCTATAGTTTTGGAAACTGCTTGTTCTTCACTTCCTGTTTACTCGGGTAATATTATATCCTTCTGGGGTCTTCGACGGAGGTGAAGACTGCATAGTCATAGTTACAGTTCTCATTAGTTATGATAGGACGTAAACTAAGTACAGCGCTTTGGTTCATCAAGATAGGATAGATAATAGAGTGCTTTTTCCAAATTTGCCAAATGCAAAGGGACTGAATATTATAAATATAATTCTTACTTGATAACTGTTTACTGTATATAATTTTACTGTTAAGTTAAAACCTTCCTTTTTAGAGAAAAGGGGGAAATGTGGACTATTACTTGAACTATGTAAAGATGCTTTACATTTGTTTATGCTGCATTTGTTTAGCAGTGTAAGTATGTGTTGCTTTGTCTGCCTAAGGCACGGTATTGGTCTAATAAAAAGCTGAATAACAATAGCTAGGCAGTAGAGGGATAGGCGGGGCTGGCGGGCAGAGAGAATAAGGAGGAGGAGAAATAGAGGCTCAAGAGAGAGAAAAAGAGGGAGAAAGAGAGGGAGATGCCTGGGGCCAGCCAGGGAGTAGGACATACAGAATGAAAGAAAAGTAAAAAGCCCTGAGGCCAAACATAGATGAATTTAAGTTTAAAAAGCTATCCCAAAACAAGCCTAAACTAAGGCCAAGCATTCAAAACTAATAAGAAGTCTCTGTGTCATGATTTGGGAGCTGGTTGGTGGCCCAAAAGAAAGCCTGCTGCAAGAAACTGTGACAGAAAGCAAATACCCTTCCTCAGTTAAAAAGGAACTTCTGGTTTATTAGTTATGCCATCATTAACCTGAAAGAATTACACGATTTCCTGTGTCAGTACTATACATCTCAACACAAAACACAATACTTTGTACAAAGAAAATTTTATTGATGAAAAGATCACACAAAGTTCTTGTGTACAAAGTTTACAAATGTGGAAAAGTTAGTATTTACAACATTTTCCATACAGTACATAATTTTAATTTAAACTTTAGCAGAAGGTCTGACAGGCCCAAAGCACCCAAGAAAATGTTGCTCAGGAAATAATACTTAATGAGAAACAAAACTAAGGAAATTCCTTATTATTTTCAAGTGTGTTGTTCAAACCACATTATGTTTCACTACTATTGCTAGAACTTTCTTTTGCAAGTTCAGTTGCGGACATGAATTTTGCATAGCATCTGAGAAAGATACAATACAATGTGTCTGTAGTAGTATAAAAATTTAAGTTTAAATTTTAAAAAAGAATGAAATCTGGGTGTGGTGGCTCAAGTCTTTAATCCCAGCACTCGGGAGACAGAGGTAGGTGGCACTCTGTGAGTTTAAGGCCAGCCTGGTCTACATACTGAGTTCCAGGACAGTTGGATAGAGCTACATAGCAAGACCCTGTCTCAAAAAGATAAAAAATAATAAAATAGAAAAGTATGAGCAACTATAAATGGCCATAATTCAATCTTGAGTGGTCATAAAACCTTAAAAAAAAGGAACTCAATAGCTTTGTGTAATTTATAAAGATTTACAAGTGAGGGGTTGGGGATTTAGCTCAGTGGTAGAGTCGCAAGGCCTTGGGTTTGGTCCTCAGCTCCAGAAAAAAAAAAAAAATTTACAAGTGAAAGCTTGCCAGTCAGAGACAGACAGCAGGAGGCAGGACAACAAGGAGGACACAATCTCCACAGCATCTCCACAGAGACCTGTGAAACTCTTCACATGTCAACACTCACAAAACTCACAGGTAAGGTACTGTGGAGGGGCTTTGAAAGGTAAATGCTTCTTACAAACCTCTCAGTGTAATACCTAGTGTTTATTGGTGGTGGCGCACGCCTTTAATCCCAGCACTCGGGAGGCAGAGGCAGGTGGATCTCTGTGAGTTCAAGGCCAGCCTGGTCTACAGAGTGAGATCCAGGAAAGGCGCAAAGCTACACAGAGAAACCCTGTCTCGAAAAACAAAACAAACAAACAAACAAAGAATGCTGTTTTACAAGTTTCTTAAAAATTCAGTGTAACAGCTACCATAATAGCAAAAGTTCAAATGCATATAAGTGTGTTTTCATATATATATGTATATATATATATACATATACACACATAAAGGTTCAATGATAACTTTTAAATACTTCAGAAAAATCCTGGTTTATATCAAAAGAATGAAACAGCATAAAATATCTTAAAATACTTTAAAGAAAGAATCTTCATAAATAGAAGGAAGATTCCTCTAATGCCCTCCCCACCGCCTACAGTTTGAAAATGTTATTAACCTGGATATTTTTGGTTTTTCAGGTATGAATGCATTGCATTACTCTTGAAATCAGCCCCCCCTCCCCCAGTATAACAGTAGACAAACAGCCAGTGGTGCTGGCGCACACCTTTAATCCCAGCAAGGCAGGCAGATCTCGGTGAGTTCGAGGCCAGCCTGGTCTACAGAGTGAGCTCCAGGACAGCCAGGGATACAAAGAGAAGCCCTGTCTCAAACAAACGAACAAACAAACAAACAACTAGACAGTAGACAAAGCTGGTTTAAGTGCAAAAGAAGAATGTAACCGTGATTTTTCTTTTTGCAGGGCTGGGAGATGAACCCAGGTCCTTAAGTATTCCGGGTGAATGCTCTACCACTGAGCTGCTCTGGCAGTGGTTTTTTTAAAAAGACAAAGGCATTGTCATCTCCAGTGTAATAAGAACTGACTTCAGGGTAACGAGATAAAAGTCTCTTCAAGTGTCTGAACGCCCGGCAGCACCCTGCTCTTTTCTACCTGCAGAAGCCGAGTGAACAAGCAGAGATGTGGAACCTTTGAGGCTGCCTGGTTCTGAAGAACTGGGGACCTGCAGATTGCTGCACTTCACTAGGCCAGTTTCAGTGATGTCACTCTTCGGACTCACCCTAGAAAAAAAGAAAGTTGACACGTATATATGTGGAAGCACAAGAGGATGTCAATCCTCCTCCTAACTGTGGCTCATTTACCCCCAAGCAGCTCTGACCTCTATCAGAAGACAATCCACTAAAGCTTTTGGGTAACACTTCAAATTACAAACACCTTTTCTCAGATACAACCTTTGCTGACTTCAGAAACTTTACTCAGTGCTGTCCTGTACGGCGGAGCACAATGTATCTCACAGGGAACACAACTCCTCGGGCAGATTCCTGCTCCCAGCTTAGTGATTCCTTAGCAGTATTAAAACACAGCCTAAGAGTTTAGGAATACAATGATGACCAAGACCTCAGCTCCAATCCCATGGAGGATAAAGCATCTAGCTAGCTACAGCCGGGTACACGGAAGCATTATGGGAACACAAAGTATATTCAGACCTGTCTGAGAGGGCTTAGGACAACCTTAAGGTCTTGCTGTAGTTAGCTGTCAACATTCTGAGAAAAAACAAAAACAAAAACCATAACCAATCCTGTGCTTTGGTTACTTTTGTCCATTGGGAAAAATCCACCATATTTTTTCATATTCAGAAGCTAAAAACTTATGATTATCTTTGTATAAAACAGCACCTTAGATACAGAGTGAAATAATGTGTTTTGTTTCCTCGAGATGTTTCTTTCTTGCTACTATTATAGCCCAGGCTGGCCTTGAACTTGCTTGTGTGTAACCTGGGTTGGCCTCAAATTCATGACCCTTGTAACTCCAACTTCCCAGCACTGGGATTACAGGCATGTACCACTATGCTCAGCTATGATGTATGATGATAGTTTGGCCTGTACTTCAGATGTACTTTAAACACTTACCTAATGTCAAATAACTCGTAACAATTATCATAAGAAATGAATATCACTTTCCAACTTGAACTCCTACATTAAGACTCTTCTTAAAGCTAAGAATTGAACTATTCAGTAGCATATTTATTGGTTGAAACCAAACTTCCTTGAATTAAAAGTAAAGGTATCTCATCATAAAATGCTTTTGTCCCAGATGCAGTACGTGCCAATAAAAAATGGGTAAGGCTCTATTTCGAATCACACCAACTCAGAAGCACAGCTGACCTCACCTTCCTTCACTCGGAGCCCCCTCCGACACACTGCTTTTCTCCTTCCCACTGCCGGCTCGGCCGTTCCTGTCGCTCTGCTCCCCGGAGAGCTTGGAGCTGGACGCTGCGGGGGAAACAGGTTCTCCACAGTCCCGGTCCTTTGCTCTGGGCGGGTTTGCTCTGTCTGCTCTCACCTCCTTCACAGATGCTTCAGGGGAGGTCTGGACTTCTGTGGAAGTTTCCTGTCCTAAGTAGTCGTGGTCAGCGATCGCCACAGCAGAGGTGCCGTGGTCTGCCGTCACGCCTGTGCTGGTCCCCATGGACTTGGAAATGACCTTCAGCTTATGTGACCCTGGCTTGTAGTGCTTCTGCTTGTGTTTCACTTTGGAATTGTGCTTCAGGAAAAACTCACAGGACTCCTGCAGCACTCTCCGGCTTTCGCTGATGGGGCTGCGGGGAAGGAAAGCCAGGGGAGAATTTGCTCAGGCCATCTCAAGTGTTACAGACAGACGCCTTAGTTAGAAGCTCTGTCCGGTCTGTAGCATTTATAAAATCTGGGATTCCTAGATCCTGAAATCTTTCGCGCAAACACCTTCTTTGCTTTTGCTAAGAGAAGCAGCACACTGGTGAGAAATTAAACAGTCAAAAACCAAAGACTGAAGGCAAGGAAATACAATCATCCCAATGAGACTGACTGTATTTGTATCACACAAATTTGCTGAACATGGGGGTAAGCCAGAAGAAAGAGGGCACAGTATAATCAATGACCCTGTCTTCTAACATTAAAGTTGACAAGTTATAGTAAAGTTAGTATGGATACATAAATATGAGATACACACTGATAACATGAAAATAATAAAGCCCAGTTAAATGAAATTTTCAGTTTTCAAAAATTATTAGTGGAAAAGCATATAGTTCTGAATTAAAATATTTTGGAGACAGGGTCTTGCTATCCCAATGAGCCTCAAATTTGCCACCTTCCTGCCTCTAGCCACCAAGTGTGGGGGCTACAGGTAGGCCCCACTTGTCCATCTATAGTTATGAAGTCTGTAACACAAAGAGTGTGATAATAAAATCAGTGGGAAATAAAAAAATCTACAGCACATTATACACAATATATATAAAGAACCAAAATGAACTATCTACTCCTAAGTAAGTATTGATATTACAGAATATCAATGTTTTGAACTGTTATGACTTTAGGTAAAAAACATGGGTATTTTGTTTGTTTACTTTAAACCGATCTTAGGATGGACAGCCGCACTTACTCTCGCTTGCGGTTCCGTTTGAAGAACCCGGCCCACTCTGCGCATGTCTTTTTACTTCCAACCCAGAAGACCGCAGAGATGCCAACAATTAATGTCATCAGGTATTTGATCATAAATAAAGCCAATTCTGGTCGAGCTTCTGTGTTTGCCTACAAAAACAAAATAAATAATAACATATTTAAAATGTAAAGAAAAGTCTGCATTGTCAAAGTAAAGTTGGAGCAAATTATAAATCTTCAGTCTGTTTTACTGCAAAAGGTTTGAATAAATAATATAAGGAACAACGTTTTAAGTTCAATACATTTTTATGAAGTTCTGAACAAGGAACTTATATGTATATCAAAATATGGCTCTCACAGAGAAAAATACTTACGATTTTCAGAATCTTTGCATGACCTCTTGACCTTTCCCTCTCCTATTGGTAGAGTGGCCTCTCATAACTGCTAAAATATTTGTCTGTAAGTGTTTAACTATTTCCCTTCACTATGTCTACGTTTAAGACATATTTAGGGGCCGGAGGGACGGCTCAGCGGCTGGGAGCACTGACGGCTCAGCGGCTGGGAGCACTGACGGCTCAGCGGCTGGGAGCACTGACGGCTCAGCGGCTGGGAGCAC